AGGAATAAAAACCTACTTGAACTAGATTAAAAGAAAAAGGGAAAATGTTAGGGGGTACAGGGGCATTTTGGGGAAGTAAAGGTAGGAAAGGCGGTCAGATCTCACAAATGGCTGAAAACAGAACATGGAAAAAGATAAAAATGAAAGCAAGTGCGTGCTCTCTCCCCTCCCTTGTGCTATCCCTCCCTCCCTCCCTCCCTCCCTCCCTCGTGCAAGCCTCAGCATCTTGGTTTCTTATCTCTGCATCTCTGTTTTATATAAAAAACTGCAAACTGGCACTTTCTGTGCTCCTTAAGGAAAATGGGACATGAAGTGCTAGTCCCCGTGGTCAGCAAAGGGTCTCTATGATCCCTCCCCCCCAAGCACAATCCCAGGGAGGAAGCCTGGTGCACCCAGCTTGGTCTGGTGTCAGTCCACATGCCTGGGGGGCAGGGCGGTGTGAGTCAGTGACTTCTGGAGGGGAGTCATGGCAAACTCAGCATGACCTGTGGGCAGAGCTGGCAGATCGTTTGCATGTCTGCCACGTAGGTAGGTGATGAGGACGGTGGCCACCAGTAAGGACTGTCAGCCCCAGCGGTGCTAGCATGCAAGGGGGGGACAGGTGTGTGGCGTATGAACGAGGCCAGGGGGCTGGGGATCGCAGAGTCTACGCTTGTTCACCTGTTTTGTTTGTTTTTTAAGTTGAGAGTTTCTCTCTTCTTTTGGGGCATGAGGCAACTCCGCCAGTGCCAAGAGACCTGGGGTGAGTCAGGCACAGTGGACTCTGAGAGTCACTCAGCCTCGTCATTGGCTTACTGGGTAACATCTGAGAAGTCCCCGGTTAATTCATTTCAAAATTTCCAGAACTTCTATGGAATTTCATATCCACTCCCCCTCTCCGGTCTGGGGAGAAGACTATGGAACGATTACAGAAGTCATTTCAACTTAGTAACTGTTTTTAGGAGCTCATTTGCCAGGTACAGGACTAAACTCTTGGGATATAAATATGTAAGATTTCAGAGGTCCCACATTTAAGAGAGAAGTGGAGCATCGCTTATAATTAAACTCAAGTCCTACCATAATACAGGCAAAAATAAGGTTGTTTTAAACTAGAGGAGTCGGGAGCCAAGGAAGAAAAAAAAAATTCGTTCTGAATAAAGGGGATAGGAAAGGTTGGCAGATGAAACAAAATTAGATTGGAGCCTTGAAGTAGACTTTTAAGAAATGGAGAAAAAGAGAAAGACGTTCTAGGCATAAAGACAGCTCAGAAATGGGTGGAGGAGAGTGGGCAATGCAGTCAGTACATGGGTGAACTGAGTGTCGCCTGAGTGCCGCGTAGAAGGCGGGGGACAGAGAGAGACTGCGGGTCAGGTTCGGGGTCACCGGAAGTTCAAACGCTCAGGCACTGGAACTGCATTCCGTAGACGTGGAAAGATTTCAGCCGATCAACCCTGCATTTTAGAAAGAGAACTGTGATGTAAGACAGGCATTTCTCAAAAATGAACAAAGTGGGTTTTTTATTTAAAACAGAACAACCAATACCGTATGCATTGCCAATGATAAAATTCAAGCCTTCCAATAAGAATGAGAATTTTGGAAAATATGTATCTGCCAGCATGTGCTTGACAGTATCCCTATATGAGAAGACTTTTCTGATGAGATAGGTAGTAACGCAGCTTTTTTGATATCGTGTCCTGAAATGTATCAGCAATGGAAAGATCTGCGTAACTCAGTAAACCAGTATTTTCCAAATGACCAATACACGAAGGGACAAGATCTTGAATGGGTATAAGACCAGTTTAAAGTGCTCAATAGGCCAATGCATTTTAATGCACCAGGTGCTGGAGGTCATCAAGAAGACGTAACTGCCGGTCAGCCCAGACAATCAGAGGCTCCCTGCCGTTTCCTGTCTTTGGAATGTACCTCTGGCCCCTGGCCCAGGAGCCACGTCAAGGACTCAGCCTCGAGAGAGTAATCGGTGCTTGAAACCATCTGGCTGGTCTCTGTGACTGAACCCCATTAAGAACTTTATACGAATTCTTAAGATTCTGGTGGCTGGGTACAGAGATCCACAATTGTGTTCCATTTTTCCAACTATACATCTGTGTAATACCAGAATAATTCATGCAATCTCATTAAAACTACATATCACAACAGATTGAATGCAGAAGCAGATATGAAAATCCAAGTGTTCATTTCTAGGCAGACATTTAAAAGACAGGCAAAAAATGTAATTCTTCTCATGAATTTTTTTGTTTTGGGAAAGGAAGTTATTTTATATAAGATATGTTTTTATGTTAACATGTAATAGCCTTATTGTTTTTTTAGGGAATTAACACATAAATATCGGAAGATTTATCTGTGCCAATTTCTTACTTGGTAAGCACTGGTAGAAATAATCCACATAAACAAAAGTTTTTTTGGATCCTCAATATTTTTTTCCAGCCATAGAGTTGTAATTGACAATTACAGTTTATATATTTAAAATGTACAAAGTGATGGTTCGATATACACATCCGTGTGAAATTTTTACCACAATCAAGCTACTTAACACATTTACCACCTCACAGAGTTACTGTGTGTGTATATGTGTGTGTGGTGAGACCACTCAAGAGTTACTCTGTTAGCAAATTGTTGGTATATAGCACAGTATTATTAGCTACGGTCACTACGCTGCACATCGGATTCCCAGAACTTACTCATCTTAGAACTGAAAGTTTGCACCCTAAGACCAGCACCTCGGCAGTTCCCCCACCGCCAGCCCCAGGCAGGCTCTGTTCTGTTGTCTGCACCCTGAGCCGGTTTTTTAGGTTCCACACATCAGGAAGACCACAGAGCGTGTGTCTCTCTCTGTCTGGCTTCTTCACTCGGCATAATGTCCTCCGGATCCATTCATGGCATCGCAAATGGCAGGGTTTCCTTCTTTTTGTGGCTGAATAATATTCCGTCTATCGTGTGTGTGTGCACACGCGCATGCGTGTGTGTGTGAAATGCATTTTTAAATCCATCCACCCCAAGAGACTGTCAATAATTTTAAGATTGTAAAGAGCCCCCGCGACCGCGGCGTTTGCGACGCCGTCCCTTCGTCCTCTGGTGCCCTGCTCTGCACGTGGGGTCCAGCACAGCAGTGCCGCGGCGACGCCCCTGGGAATTTAAAGCGGGCGTTCTCAGACTTGGGTCTCCCGAACTCTTCACACTCTGACAATGAACGTGGAGCAGGAGTCGACACTTTGCTTCCTGAAATTTGAAACCCCTGTCTGCTCTGGGAAAATGTAACTCCTGATTTCTCTTGTCCGCCATGCCAGCAAAATGCTCATTGGTCCAGCCCTCAGCACAAAGGTAGAAAAGGGTGCATTTCCATCTCCAGCACCCAAAGACCAAGGACAAATTTCGGTCTCGCAAGAGCGAGCTCTGCTGCTGCCCAAACGCCGTCTGTTGGGAACCACTCACACACATTCCAGTGAGTCACAGGAACAGATCTCCTCACCTCCCTGAAACCTGGCCGACTTCCTGCAAGGGCGGGGGCAGTCCAGGCGGGGTGTGGGTGAGCCAGCGGCCACCTGGGAGCGCACAGGTGATATCCGAAGCCTTAGTAAGCAGGGGTGTGGAGCACAGACAGGTCAGAAAAAAGGCCCGCGGGTGTTGGTCAGGATTCGTAAGGAGAGTTAGTCAAGCAGATAAGACAGGAAAAGAACCGACGGCTATGCATTTTGAGTTCAAAGGTACTGAGTTTATGGTTATAATTAGAACCAGTATTAAGAATAGCAATTTAAGACTTTAAAAATTCGAGACTTCAGCCCGGGCCATGGTGAAAGGGAGCATTTAATTGATTGTCGCCTATTAATGAAGTTCTTTGCACCTTGAATCACTTGGCTTTCCAGTGACAATACCCTCAGCATCCCTCCCTGCTCTTAGTACCCGCGCCACAAAGACCTGCAATGGTGACAGCAACTCCTTAAGTTTAATTTTATTAAAACCTTTGATCGCTTCACAAAAGTAGTCACCGGCGGGAAGAATTCGCGCTTCAGCAATATGCTGGGAATCGGTGGCGGAATCTTTGGAGGAAAGGGTCAGGTTTCAAGAAAAGCGAATATCCTATTGTTTCTTAGGTTGGTAGGTGAGAATGCCGCACGGGGTTGCAGAACGTTCTCTTTCCAGATCCGAGGCGGACGCGGTGGAAGCAGGTGCCATGGTCGTGGCGCAGCACCGCCGAAGGGAAGGCTCTCGGTCCGACGTGGGCCTCTGCGCCTTGGAGTAAATCGCTCCAAGTCAGTAGTGAGATCAGCTCCGCGTTATCTTGGCGGAGAGGAGCGAACGAGGATCTCTCGCTTGCTCATGTGCACACACACACACACACACACACACACAGACACAGACACACACACACAGACACGGCGCCCCTGCAGCAGGTCTTGCTTAAATGTCACCTAGGATAATCATAGCTTGGGGAGCGGATTTTTGTCTCTCTAACCTGGTCGTTCCAGGCTTATTTTCGTCTCTTTCTCCGCCAGGCTTATTTCTGCCTGTTTCTTGGGAAAGGCAGGGCAGGCCCGCACTGCGCAGCCCCTGGAGAGCGGGGCTCAGAGCTCCGGCCCCCGAGCGCGACCGCTGCCAGGAGCCGCCAGGGCTGCAGAAAGGCTGCGGGGTCGTCCCGGGGACCCGGGCGTCCGGCTGCCAGGGGGCGGGGTGGTGGCAGGCCGGCTGTCGCCCGCCGCGTGTGCCCGGACTGCCCGGTCGATTTCCGGACCCCCGGGCGGGGAACTGAGCGCGGGGCGAAGGTGCGGTTTCCGGGGGCGTGGGGCCAGGTGCGGCCTGAGGGCGGCGGGCGGGGCGGGCACATCCGCGTTGCCTAGGCCCCGGGGCGGGCCGGGGCGGGCCTTGGCGTCCCGGAGCTGCCGGAGACTTTTCCCTGCGCTCGCCCGGGCAGGGAGCCCAGCCCTCTGGACGGCCTCTGGCGAGTGGCGGGGTTCTCTGGTCCCTCTGCAGCCCCGAGCAGCTACGGCCCCCGGGGCAGGCGCAGGATGCGGCCGGGACGCACGGGGACCGCGCCGCTGCGGCTGCTGCTGCTCCTTCACGGTAAGCGAGGACTGCGCTCCGCGGGGGCGGCCGCAGGGGCGGGCCGTGGGGACCGGGGCGCAGGCAGAGCGCGTCTCCGCTCCGACTCCATGTACACCCAGGTTCCCAGCCCTCCGGGGCGGAGGGAGAGACTGTCATCCCGTGCTGTCGCCCCGGGTGTCCCCGCGAAAGCGGGGCTTGCCGTCCGTTAAGCACACTTCAAAGTCAAGGCAGTGCGAGCTCTGATTTTAGGCACACGCGCACGGTGACACCTGTGCACAGACGGTGGCCACGAGTGCGTGTCCAGAGGGCGAGTGCCGCAGCGCGGCTGAGACAGGTGCCGCGCCAGACCCGGGCGGGGGTGGGGTGCCGTGGGTCCCGGGAACCTGCTCCTCCTCCCAGCCTTGCCCGGTGGCTTTGCAGGAACCCGGGTGCCGCAAATGCTGATTTTTCAGCCCAAGCGTGCGCTGACGCCCCCGTTTCTCCAGGACGTGGCACTGGCGTTTCTTGGCCGTAGGTGCCAGAAAAACCCAGCGCCTCTTAGGGACTTGGCGAAGGGGGATTCTTCCTTCCCTCCTGCCTTCCTCTCATTGTTCTAACGTCGTCTGTGCAATGAATGTAAACTCGGGCCAGGAAAAGTTCTTTCCACTTTCTTGATCTTGGCGCCGCAGCAAGAAAACTGAGCGAGCGGCAGCTCCAACTGCAGGGCAGTGCGCGGGGGCCCACCCGTGGCTCGGCTTCTTTCGCCCCAAGTTGGGAAAGGAGGCTGGGAGTGACCGTCGTCGCCGCTGCGCCGCCCTTGCGCCCCAAGAGTGCCTTCCCCAGGCCTTCTGCAGAGCCCAGTGTGAACTTTAATAAATTTTCCTTCCCTGGGGAGGGGGGGAGGTGGAAGGGGGGGAGGAACGGAGTCACATTTGTATTTTGTAGTTTGATCAGCTATCAATACAAATACATGGTCTCTGATTTTCAAATGTTTTTCCAAAGAAGTTACCTGAAATATTCCCTAGCCGGTCCTCCCTTGAGGCGTTTAGCCAGGCTTTCCCTTTTGTGGAAGAAACCTGATCTCTGTGACCCTGGAGCATTTTCTCTGGCTGGAGGGAACAGAGAAAGAGTCACACCATTCCCATGCCAGCAAGCACAGGCATCATCAGATTCCCTGTGTAACCGGTGGCCGGTGCTCAGGCACCCTCTCTTGACCCTCCTCCGGGAGAGCGTTCTGAGGGGCCTTCGCCCTAACCTGGGGGTTTCAGGGCGATTCACGTTGAAACTCAGGCCCTGCAACACTTCTACCTTCCCAAGAGCTAATAGACACTTAATTCCGAGCTTTTCATCTCTCTTTAATTACCCATTATTAACCGAGGCTATGGAAACATAACATCATTTTCTCATCTTCGAGATGTCGAGGCTTGTCTTTTCAAGAGGAGCGAGAAGCACTGGGGTGGAATGTGTTGCTTCAGGGCACGGAGTCAGGCACGGAGACGTTAACCTGGAATTAGCTCATGAGGACAACTCCGTGCAAGCATTGGACATTGAAAATGACACCACTAAAACGTTTTTTATAGTTCGTTCTTCCTTCCGCTCCAGCTATTTGCTTTCCCAAGGAACAGGCTTCCTCCTAATCCGGGATGGTCATGACAAAGCTTTGACACTGTGACACCAGCGCAGGTTTTAATATTAGGGAGGCAGCAACGTTTTCAGGTCCCATGAATATCCGAGGTGAACATGAATAACTGAAATCTCTAGGTCAGTGGTGGCTGAAATTGTATGATTATGGCATTACCCTATCTGTCTAAAACTGTGGAGGGTTCATCATTGCTACGCACACGCATCGTTGTTTATGAACTTTACACACGTACAATTGTGCGACATAAGTACATACCAAGAATTAAAATGTTAATGACACACGCGTGTCAGTGTTGATACATTTTGCATTCTCTCCAGCATACGTGCCAATCGCTGTAGAAACATAAAACCCTCAGCTCTCATTTTGACACAGATTCAGGTGCAGTTGCCACAACCCTTCCCCCAGGTGTGTGAGGAAAGCAGCGCTCACAGTGTGGCTTCACAGTTCTCACCTTTCGTTGATCAGGCCTTTGTTGACGTGCGGCAGCTGAGATGGTGTTCGGCCCTTTGAGGATGGACAAGAGAGACCATGTAGGCCTAGATAATCCACACTAACTCCCGGGTCCGGAGGGGCAAGGGAGATGCCGTTGTGCAATGCATGGCGTCACTTCCACTGGCTCCTTTGTCGCCAGGCCCGGGGCAGTCCTCCCACTGGTCTAGGTGTCTTCTCTCACCCTCTCTGGTACCCACCACAGAAGATTTTCCAACCCTCTCCCTCCTTCCCCCGCAGGCTACAAGTTTCCTCCTTGCTCCCCTGGTCAGCAAGTCCTTGTGATACGGCTCCGCGGCCCTGTCCTCCTGAAACGCCCCCACCTCGTGCCCCTGTCCTCCCTGGCTTTCTCTCACCTCCCTGGCGGCTCTTGCTTAGTCTCCTCCACGGGCGCTCGAGCCTGGCCCAGCCCGGGGCGGTGCTCGCAGAGTTCCGTCCTGGCCCTTCCCCGCCATCCTCCCTTCTCTCGGGCAGGCGCAGCGCAGGTGGGCACCGACCAGGCTCCCGAGCAGTAGTTCCCTCTGCCACCTGCATTTCCACCCAGATGCTCTCCGAGTGCATCAAACTCAATGTGTCCCCCATGGAAGTCGGCACCTGTCCTCTGCACCCTGCTCTTCTATTGTCCGCCACGGTTTGGAGGCGGCCTTCCGTGCAAACACCGAGCCAGGGGCCTTCGCCTTGTTCACGGCCTCACGGCCCGTCTCCGACGCGGCCCCTCCTCCCCACCCTGAGCAACGGTGCCGTGCCATCCAGGCAGGCCCTGGAGTGGGGGGGGGGGGTGCGTGCGTGCGTGTGTGCGCACGCATGCGCGTGTGCCAGGACTTCTGCAGTTTTTACACTGGTTTTCCTGTTTTGTCTCTTATCCCTTCGGGCCAGTCTCCTCATTGTCCACTGCGACCTTCCTAAACGCTGATTGGTGTCCAATCACTCCCTTGCTTCAGATGTCTGGTGGCTCCCCATTTCGCGTAGGGTAAAGTCCAAATGTCTTGGCAGGTTCCGAGAAGGCCCTGTGCCACCTGGCCACAGCGTGCCTGCTCAGCCTTTCCTCCACCACGTCTGCGCTGCGCACCATGGAGGTGCTCAGCCCGCTCTTGTGCACACACAGCACACCCTCCAAGGCCATATACACACACCTCACACACCTTCCGTGTCCTGCCTGCACCTGATCGAACCACAGTTAGTGTCGGCCATTTTCCAGGCTGTTCTCTCGGCCCTTCCTGCCTTGCTGCCTTGTCCCTTTCCTCTCACCCTTGGGCCACTGACCATTGTTTTGTATCGTAAGAAACAACCCCAAGCGAAGCGGTCAAGCAGGGAGGTTTTTCTTTTACAACAAAAAGAAAGTCTGAAGCCAGCTGTCGTTTCTGGGGCCTGCCCCAGACCCCAGACCGCCCTCTGACAAAGTAACCCCTTCCCCCACAGCCCCCCAGCTTCCGCTGCCCAGCCGCACTAAGCTCTGCTCTCTTAAACCCTGGTTCACGAGCCTCTGCTTGATTTAAATTAATGGATTGAGGTGCAGGATTTAGTATTTAGAAACAATTACTCATCTGTTTCTGATGCACAGCCAGGTTTGGAAGTAACTGCTGAAATAGTAGCCCCGCGCCCCTCTGTTCTAACCAGTTGAAATCCCTGTGTTGCCTGTGCCAACCACCGTGCAGAGATGACCCCCAACACAGGCAGATTTCAACACCAAGAGGCAGTGGGCGCGTCACTTTGAACGAGTTCCCGCTAAAGCGGGCACTGACCGCTGCTGACTCTGCGTGCCAGCAGCGCTGGGCAGGGGGAAAGGGACAAGCCTGTAACCGTGAGGACATGAGCTTCTCACAATGGAATTTGAGACGTTCTGCAAAAGAAAGACACGCTCCTGTCAGTGGGTCAGAAAGAAAGACTCAGCCTTGGCTGGGTAGCTCAGCTGGTTAGAGCGTTGCCTCCATACACCAAGGTTGTGGGTTCGATCCCTGGCCAGAGCACGTACAAGAAACAACCGGTGAGTGCAGCCACAAATCTCTCTCCCCCCCCCACTGTCACAATCTCTCTCAAATCAATAAAAAATAATTTAACAAAAAAAAAAAAAGAAAGAATTTCAAAAAATATTGGAGACCAGAAGTATCATCCTGCTATTGCCTAAACGTCACCACTGAAGTCACGGGCCGCAGGCTGGACTGTCCGCCCTGCTGGAGGTATTGCTGAAGGTTCAGCGTGAAAGAGGAAGAAGCACTGTGATTGTCACAGCAAAGATGTGGGAGGTTTGTTTTTTCAGTTGTTATGGTGACTGATGATTTACCGTGAAAAAAACGCACAGAAGAATGGCTCCCCCCAGCGAAGAGCGGCTCCCCCAAGAGCAGAGAGGCTCCCCCGAGCGAAGAGCGGCTCCCCCGAGAGAAGAGAGGCTCCCCCGAGCGCAGAGCGGCTCCCCGGAGAGTAGTCTTTTCACCACCTGCTGAGGCCGCCCTGGGCGCCGGGAGCGGAAGTGAGCGCTGCAGGCGGCCCACAGGCACCCTGTCGTCCTGGCCCCAGTGAGCCCCAGAGCCTGGGGTCCAAGCAGATTTTTCTGCAGTGACCGCTCTGTCGGGCAGCGGGCTCGCCCCGTGCGGCACCGAAGGGGACTTGAAACCTGGTCGGGGAGGCTTCAGTCCCCCGGGGGACAAGCACAAAAGCAGGGCAGGGCGCCGTCTTAGCCCTGGTGGGGTTCTGACCGGCGGTGCTGCCGCCGTCCTCCCGACAGAGTCCGGTGGCCGGGTGAGCCCCGCCCCCGCGGCGGGGAGACCAGGGGTGCCGAGCCGGTCGTGCCCTCGCAGGGTCTGATCCAGACACCGCCCGTAATACAGTCCGGGCCTAAGAGACGGGGCGGGGATTTGCCCCAGGGTTTTGGGGAGAGCTTTCTCATTCCCAAGAGACACACTTTTAAGAA